GATGATGATGATGATGATGATGATGATGATGATGATGATGATGATGATGATGATGATGATGATGATGATGATGATGATGATGATGATGATGATGATGATGATGATGATGATGATGATGATGAGGGGCACACTTGACTAAAAACATCAAAGCAGTCACGACATGACGCGGCAAAGCATCCAAAACACGGCACAAAACATTATTGCGCAGAGCGTTGAGTCTGCGATTGGCGCCCTGCGCCTGGCGCACGCGGCGCTCCCTTGTAAACCTCAATGACGAGGACACGTGTGCGGTGTGTTTTTTTGTCTGCTTGCCGTCCACCGGGCGCACAGGCGGAAGGCGGCCCTCTACGGCAACGGTGGAGGCCCTTTTCGGCTGCTACTGCCGCGCAGCGCCCGCGGAGGGGCAGGAGGACGGCCAAGGCCGTGAGGACGGCTGGGCGGCCGCAGGTGGGCGGCAGTGTGCGGGGTCCAGTCACAGTGCATGCACAACGCATGAGCTGGTGCCTGCTCAGCTTCTCAGTGTTCATAATCAATCATACGAATGATAAAGCATGCTGAGACGTTCCCTCGCAACATAGAACCCTTGTCTGTACCCTGCACGCGGCTCCAGGAAGCTGGTTTCAAAAAATAGACCCGCTTGCGCCGCATTGCCGCCGAGTCTGCGATCTCTTGCCCTCTGCCACTGCAGGCGCAGCATGGCAGAGCGACTCGGACGGCGAGGGCGGCCCTGTGGCGGCTGCGCCCGGCGCCGCCGGCACAAAGCCAGCCGGCGGCAAGGGCGGCGGTGGGGCCGCGAAGGGCAAGGGGAGAGTGAAGGCGGCGGGCGGCGGGCGCGGCCGTGCCCGGCGGGGCGCCGGCGGGCTGCCATGGCAGAAGCGCAGCGGGGCCGGCAGGAAGCGGCCGGGAAGCAAGAAGGCCGTCCCCAAGCACTGCGCGGCGCCGGCGCTGGCCGGGCGTGCGGCAAACGAGGGCGGCGGTGCGACGGTTAAGGCCGCTTCGGGGCCGGCGGCGGCCAAGGCAGCGGGGCGGCCGAGGAAGCGGCGGCACACCCTGTGCGGGGGCTCCTCTTCCAGCAGCGACAGCGCCAGGGACAGTGATTACGCTCCCAGCAACTGATCGAGAGGCACAATGCTGGCTGTCCAAGGTTAGGCGCACAACCTTGGAAGCCTCAGGCACTATGGGGGCCTGCAGCCGGAAGAGGGGATGCATGTGGGCGGCATTTTCGTGTGGGTATCAGTGGCAAGGTCGACCGTTTGTGGTGGGATGTGAGCAGGTGATACTTGCGGCGCCACCAAGTGATATGAGATTGACAGGATTTGCCGTTCGCCGACGGGTCCAGAGCAGAGGAAGAATCTGGGTCTGGGCCGGCTGGTCGTGCATCAGGCCCTTTGGCTCCTGCAACAAGTTGGCTTTGAATCTGACATACAGGTCCACACGGTCCGCAGGGCTGTCATGCGACCTTGGAAACGTCCAGACTGTTGCTGGGCTGCCTTGGTGTGCCGAAAGCGCCGAAAGCACCAATGGATCACGGAACAGTATCTGCCGAAACCGTACGTCAAAGCTGGTGTGCATGCATGGTGTCACATAATCGTTCATACTGGCAGGTAATTGCCATGCCGTTCCCAGTAAAGCCTGCACTACAGGTTCGGCGAGCGGGGGTGACCAGGGGTTTGTGTTGGTGCCTTGAAGGCAGTTGCCGTCCCCAAGAACACCTGGCACCTGCATTTGTGCATTCGTTGCGAGTTGATTCATCAAACTCAATAAGTGCTCCTGTACTGCAGCATACTCCCGTTGGCTTTCTTGATCGCGTGCCTCGGCGGAGATCATCCGTGGTCTTTCTTGGCTGCCGAGCTTGGCCAAACGCCTTCAAGGAGATGGTAAAGAAAAACAAAAACACTAGGAAGAACAAGGGACCCTGCGATGAGCCCCTTGGTGTGCGGCATGGTGCCGCCAAGAAGGCAGCGGCACAGGCACGCTACAACTTGCGCTCTCGTGGCTTGAAAAGCCCCCAGCAGAAGCAGATCCCGAAGCAGAAGCAGAAGCAGAAGGGAAAGCAGGCTGGTACAGGAAAGAGGGCCGACTGGGAAGTACAGGTGGAGTGCGATTTGATCGCCGCCACCGACCGGCGGTG